GCTTACAGTGAGCCAAGATCGCGCCACTGTACTCCAGCCTGGGCAACAGAGCGAGACTCTGTCTCAAAAAAAAAAAAAAATTCCTTTTTGTTTTGATCAAGCTAGCCTGATTAGGATATCCATGAATCCTTATAGCTATTTTTATTTTATTTTGAGACAGGGTCTGGCTCTGTCACCCAGGCTGGAGTGCACAACCACAGCTCACTGCAGCCTCTACCACCTGGGCTCAAGCCATCCTCCCACCTCAGCCTCCTGAGTAGCTGGGACTACAGGTGTGTGCCACCACATCCAGCTAATTTTTCTATTTTCTGTAGAGACAGGGTTTCACCATGTTGGCCAGGCTGGTCTTGAACTCCAGGGCTCAAGTGACCCACCCACCTTGGCCTCCCATACTACTGGGATTACAGACAAGGCCAACCGTGCCCGGCCAGGTATTTTTAAAAATTGTGTATTTCTCAGCCAGATGCGGTGGCTCATGCCTGTAGTAGCAGCACTTGGGAGGCTGAGGCAGGAGGATGGCTTCAGCTTAGAAGTTTGAGACCAGCCTGGGCAACATAGTGAGACACCATCTCTACAAAGAATAGAAGAAAATTGGCTGGGTGTGGTGGCGCATGCCCATGGTCCCAGCTGCTCGGGTCCCAGGCTGAGGTGGGAGGATTGCTTCAGCCTGGGAGGTCGAGGCTGCCATGAGCAGTGACTGCACCACTGCACTCCATCCAGCCTAGGCAATGGAGTAGTATCTCATCTCAAAAAAAAAAGAAAAAATTGTCTATTTCTAAAAAGCTGTGTTTAAACCTCATCATTTCCCCTCAAACAAACAGCTTGTATAAAACTACTCATAACATGAACATGTTAAAGAAGTTATTTTGAATGATGAAAATTTATTTTGTACATTATATTAAAATTTATTTTCTATGTATACCCAAATTTTCAAGTATTAGATTTACTTACAAATTCATCAGTGTTATCATTATACAATTGGCTGGAATTAACAGTTGCAATACACTTATTCTAGCTTTTCATATTCAATTTGAATGATCAGGAAAGTGTATGAGTCACACAGAATTAAATATTTTAGATAGTAAGAATCTTACACTTTGTTAGATAATAAAACATAATTGAATATCTGCTTAAGTAACAAAACAGTTAAGAAACTGGGTTATAAGCGAAGGAATGTAAGTGTAAAATGTGTAGAAAGATAAATATTTTCCAAATAAAATTCTAATAAAAGGCTAAACATTCTCAAATATTTTACATACATGAAGAATAAATTATTTCTGGTTAACATGTTTTTGCCTTAGTGCCAAAGAAGCCACAACCAATTTGATGAACTTAACGTTTTCTAGACATGAATTCTATTATAACATCTCTATATTTGTTTAGAATTTTGCAAAATTCTTAGAAGATCACATGTTAGGGTGGGGGAAGATAATTGCTTGCCAATACTGACATGGTTAATTAACAGACAGGCCTGAAAGGAGGAGGCTAGAAAAGAAGAGGGAAGATTATGTCACTAAGCATAGCTACAAAGGGAAAAGCCACATGGAAGCGGAGACAAAGGCTATCCCGGCACACAGAGGCATGTTTGCTGTGGCTCAAGCTTTCTGTTTCTCAAGTGTTCAGAGACGAATTCCAGCAAGACTTCTGGTTTGAGTCAAGCCTTTCAACTGAGCTGCTTGGCATACTTAACGGAAAAAGCGAGTATATTCAGATTTAGTTTTGCTAGATATTAAGCTAGAAAACTGGATGACAGTAAAACCAATACAGAAACAAAAAGTTGTGTTTCCAGTAAAGAACCGTACACACAAGCAGGTTTTGCTTATTAATGCAGGAGAGCATGGAAATCAGAGTTCAGGCTCTTTAGAAAAGATAAAAGGCAGGGGAGGGGAGAGAAGAAACGGAGGAATGCAGAGGAGCCCTCTAAGAATGACGAGTGATTCGTGCAGGAGAGGGAAATACAGACATTCTGTCCACATGAGGTGCTGCTTCAGGCATTGGACGTCGTTCCCTCCACCCGCACCTAGAAGGATATGTGTTCTGGATCTCGCTATGGTTAGTTCCCGCTGTGCTAGACATAGGTTGCTAGCTAGAAGTTTTGCCAGCCATCTTCCCTCTTCCTGGTGCTAATGCCTAATTTCCTAAAGTAATTCCTGAATCCTTATAAGCCAGGGTAGCTCAGGAGGTTCTATTTACTTATTTATTTATTTTGAGACAGAGTCTTACTCTGTCACCCAGGCAGATCTCATCTGCATGTGAGTCTCGTTGCAGTGAGCGTTGCAGTGGTGCAATCTCGGCTCACTGCAACCTCTGCCTCCTGGGTTCATGCGATTCTCCTGCCTCAGCCTCCCAAGAAGCTGGGATTACAGGTGTGTGCCACCACGCCTGGCTAATTTTTATATTTTTAGTAGAGAGAGGGTTTCATCATGTTGGCCAGGCTGGTCTCCAACTCCTGTCCTCAGGTGATCTGCCTCCCTTGGCCTCGCAAAGTGCTGGGATTATAAGCATGAGCCACCACGCCCAGGCTCAGGAAGTTTTAATATTACGTCTAGTCGGCTCACAGATGCTTGGGCCAGAAGTGGGAAGGGCACACTTGTATTTTGGGCTCAAATGGTTTTCAAATAGAATACATTTGACCAAATAAAGCGAAAACAGTCCTGAACCCTCCTCACTCCAGATACGCATGCAATCCACACCATCAAAAAAAGAGTTCACTGTTTCCAAGGCCAAAAAGAGGCTATGCTGTACTGCAGAGAACTCTACAGGAAAATCGAACACCCAAATTAAGTGCCAGAATGATGCAGCCCGCTATCATGAGGAAGAATGACATGTGAGAAAACTTTTAGCAGACGCAAAAATGTCATCCCACCATGTTATTTTAAAAATATTTTATCAGGATACAAGGACACTTCAGTTTTTAACCTACACAAGGTTAGGTAATGTTTACCTTGATACATAATTGCATATGGCCCTTTATGCCAGTCACCTAGGCCTTTGATAATGAGGGCAATTGCTAAGTGTGCTGTCTCTTCTGGGGACTTTTCTCTGAAAGGGGGACAATATATTGATAACGCATTTTATTGATCAGTTAAGAATTTTTGATCTACTTGGAAAAGACTAAATTATAATATTTCACTTTGAAACTGCTATTGCTCTTGCAAAAGTACTTGATTTTCATATCATATGGAGCTCAGAATCTTTGGACTACACAAACATTCTCTAAAAGGGCAATAATTTATATTTTCCAAAGTTTAGACATGATATCCAAAGGACAAAAGGTAACTATGTTTTTACCAATGTGACTGGAACAGTGACAACGAGTAATGTATTCACCAAACTGATCAAAAAATCTGCCTGTGGCTCCTCCACTGTACCTGTGTGCATATGTGTGTATGCAGAGAAAGGCAGAAAAGGTTCTATCAATGTCATTGTCTCCAAAATGCTTATTCTTGCCCATGTGCCAGTAATTTGAATAAGACGAGAATGGGCCAGGGGCAGTGGCTCATGCCTGTGATCCTAGCACTTTGGGAGGCCAAGGCGGGTGAATCACAAGGTTAGGAGTTAGAGACCAGCCTGGCCAACATGGTGAAACCACGTCTCTACTAAAAATACAAAAATTAGCCAGGCATGGTGGTGGGCACCTGTAATCCCAGCTACTCAGGAGGCTGAGGCAGGAGAATCGCTTGAACCCGGGAAGCGGAGGTTGCAGTGAGCAGAGATCACACCGATGCACTCCAGCCCTGCTGACACAGTGAGACTCCGTCTCAAAAAAAAAAAAAGAGAAGAGAATGTGCTTTTCCAGAATAACCCCAGTTGTATCTAGAATTTGTTTTCAATATAAAGGTAAGGTAGGTATGAGAATGTTTTTAACACCAGAATTAGTCAATCTAGATTAGGATGCTGTGTAGCATGACCATTCTCAAATTTTGAAAGCCTGAGCTGGTTGTGGGCAGGGGGATATTCATTAATGACGTAAATTTCATTTATGAAATATGTATCCATCATCTAGGTATCTTACACATGGAGAGCTGAGAGCATCCCTTGTATAAAAAGTAAATGAAGACCAGAAGGAAGCAGACTTTGTCCTGCAAACTGAAGCAGAGTTCCGTGCTAAGAATCAGCAGGTTTTCTAGGGAGGTAGTAACACCAGTGCAGTATTATTACAGTTCGCAGACCATGAAGGAAAGAGGGAGGGAGGAGGGAAAATCTTGCACTATAAGAGGTAAAAGAGTCCCCATTACAATTGCAATGCTTCATTAGACAGCTGATTTTTCTGGCTGGAAGGCACATTAAAAATAACCCTAACAATAACTTACCAAGACAATGGAAATCAAAAGAAAAGAAGGTAGAGGTACAGCTGTCTTATTAACATAACAACCACCTACAGCTGAAACAATACTCTGGTACAGGGACTACCTCATGTTAGAGACTGGGTATTTAGATAAAGAGGATCTGGTGCTCTTGGTTTAGCTTCAGTGATTTTCCAGCACTTATTAAAGCCACTGTACCCTGAACATGGAGACCCTCAAATCCTCTATATGCCAAAGATTTAAGTTGTAGAGAATTACACCAATGTTTGCTGTTAGTGTGAACCACAGGCAAGACCAGGCTCCCTGGTCTGGCTGAGTGGAGTCTTCCACGCACTGTGCGCCGCTCAGTTAGAAAGTCAACTAAGCGGAAAGGAGATAAGGAATGGCTATGGAATACCTGACTTCTTTATCTTGGTTAAGTGTCCATAATTCACTGTAGCCTCCGCCTCCCGGGCTCAAGTGATTCTCCTGCCTTAGCCTCCCAAGTAGCTGGGATTACAGGCATGCGCCACCACACCCAGCTAATTTTTGTATTTTTAGTAGAGATGAGGTTTCACCATGTTGGCCAGGCTGGTCTCGAACTCCTGACCTCAGGTGATCCACCCGCCTCAGCCTCCCAAAGTGCTGGGATTACAGGCGTAAGCCATCGTGCCTGGCCAACAATCTGGTATTCTTAAGGCAAAACAGTAGAAATCTCTTTAAATAGACACTTTATTAGATCCACAGGCGATAAAATCCCAGAGCTACTGTTAGGCATGTAAATATAGACCCTGTAAGGAAAAAACAATTGAGAGTACTATTAGTTCTATTAAGTTACTTGAGGGAACATCTTTTTTTTAAGAAAACACACACTTATTCACTTATTTACTAAGAAAACCTAGAAACTTAGATTGCTCACTGATGTGCCATATTCCGTGAAACACCTGCCTATTAAAAAAACAAATCCCATACCCCTTATTTCATTTTCTTGTTTTAGAGACACGGTCTCATCTGGCACCCAGGTGGAGTGTACCATGAAATGGTGTGATTACAGCTCACTGCACCTCAAACTCCTGTGCTCAAGCGATCCTCCTGCCTCAGCCTCCCAAGAAGCTGAAGCTACAGGCGGATGACACCATGCGTGGCTAAATTGTTTTGTAGAGACTAGGTCTCACTGTGTTGCCTAGGCTAAGAAAATTTTTCAATAAACATTTCGAATCACAAAAATTCTGTGGTCACAAGGTCTACGTATATGCACTATATAGACAGGGACACACAATTTAATATAAAGAACAACACTTCACTGTTAAATACTGCTGTGACCTTAAAATATTTCATTAATTCAAGATGCTAAATCTGACTTGAAATAATGGTTAATTTGGGTGCAGGGGTGGTACATGAATGTTCATTCTCTCTTTTGGATCAAAAATCTCGAAAGTAAAGTAACTCCTTAAAAGCAGTGTCGCCAATTGAAGCAGAAAGATTACAACTGAAACACCTTCCATTTTATCCATAAAATATTTCCTGTCTTGAATCTCATTAAAATCCCTAATAACTATACTTCGATTACAGTATCTTATCAAATTTCCAATTCTATCAATTATAAAGTACATAATTACTTCATTTACTACTAAGAAAGAAAAAGTGCCAATTAAAGTACGATACTTCATCTATTGGAAACTGTAAGATGCTTTCCAATTTCAGAGATGTTAAAATATTTCAGAAAGTGTTGGAATCAATGAAATGCAGTATCTGTCAATGACTTATTTTATAAATTTATTTTCTTTTCCGGTTGATTTAAATAGATATAAAATAGCTTACCTGCTAAATATTTAATATTATCAAGCTTGTGTGACTCAAGCATGGTTTTGAGGCCAGCAACCTCAGTTTCGATCTTCCTATCTGTCTGGGTAAGGGCCCGATCTTGCTGGGCATGCTTTTAAAATGAAGAGAGTCACAGCGTTAGACCACAGCATGTCCCCTCTGTTCACCATCCTATAGCTCATTCCCAATGGGGCGTAGTCACAGGGAAACCTGGGTAAGACTACAGAGGCCTGGGCTTTAGTCTCAGTGCGAAGATCCTAATGCTACGCTGCATTCGTCAGGACCCTTAACCTCTCTAGGCCTTAGTTTTCTTTTATTTGAAAAAATGAAAACAGAACAAAATGAAACAACCAAACCAGTGGCCCTGCCTTTACCTGGACTGTTTAGAGAATCAAATGCGATAATCTATGTGAAAAAGCATTTGTAAGCTCTAGGTTGCTATATAAATGATGTGGCATTATGAGGCCAGTCTGTTCTCAAAGGCAACAGCTACGGCTCATCCTTCTAAATCCTCCTTAGTCAAAGATACACAGTAAACTCAAAAATGTTTTCAAGAAATGGAGTCTTAGATAATGTAAAAGTGGCAGTGCTTGTCTTGAGCTATTTCTAGTCATATTTTAAAAAAACTTTCTTCTTCCATGTTCAAATATCAAGTGTTTCATTGCTGTGAGGCTTGGTTACCCAGGGCCAATTTGTGTCCTTCCTCAAATACAATACAGTTAAACTGGATACATAATCAACCCTCAAAGGCAGTGGGTTTGGCCGACCTTATAGGGGGTTGTATAACCGCATTAATGCATAAAAACCGTGGGAATACTTCACTAAAATTCCTAGAGCAACGGAATCTACCAATTCAGGCAGAGAAAGAAAGAAATAAATGCCTGGATGAGTAGAAAATTATGCCAGAGAAATATCCCAGGATTCTGGAATTCTCTCATGAAAGCCTCTTGGGTGTGTCAGAGGCCCCAGGTTCCGTACAGCATGGAAAAGGAGTAACATATGCTATAAATTAAAAATAGAATAAGACTTCTCCATTCCTCACTATTCTTCAATTAGTGAGATTTAAACTTTCTTAGTAAAACTTTTCGTTCAGAAAAACAAACTTTCAAGCAGGGTGTGGTGGTGCGCACCTGTGGTCCCAGCTACTCTAGAGGCTGAGGTGAAGGAGGGTGCAGTGGAGCTGAGACTGCACCACTGCACTCCACCCTGGGTGACAGAGCAAGACCCCATCTCAAAAAAAAAAAAGAAGAAAAGAAAAGGAAACTTTCATTAAGAAAGTTAAATCTTTCATAGGATAACTATCTTCCATTAAGATAACCAAATATTTTGTGAAGTGCAAAAAAATCCTGTGGCATTCCACTTCTGCATATATACCCAAAAGAACTGAAAGCAGGGGTCCCAACAGACATCTGTGCACCCATGCCCACTGCAGCACTATTCACAAAAGTCAACAGGTGGAAGCAACACAAGTGCCCTTGACAGATGAATAAAGAAAATGTGGTATATACATATAATGGAATACTAATCAGCATTAAAAACGAAGAAAGTCCTGTCATTGCAACAACATGGATGAACCTTCAGGACATCGTGTTAAGTGAAATAAGCCAGCCACAAAAAGACAAACACTATGGTTCTATTTATATGAGGTATGTAGAATAATCAAATTCATAGACAGTAGAAAGGAGGTTGCCAGGGTTTGGAAAAGGGAATGTATAAAGGGTGCAGAGTTTCAATTTTGCAAAATAAAGAGTTCTGTGATAGACAGTGGTGATGGTTGCCCCAAAATGTGAATGTACTTAATACCACTGAACTCTACACTTAAAAATGGTTAAGATCATAATTTTTATGTTATGTGTATTTTAGCACAATGTAAAAAATTCCCATGACAGTAAACCTGCATATAAGTTCCTATTATCATTACAAACAACCATGCATGGGATGAAGCAAAGATGAATACAATGATAAAGAAAAATCAAAGCCTCATTTCTTACCAATGCCACTATTTCTGTTCGCAATTCCAGCAGCTTCTTTTCGTTCAATGAATACTGAAATAAACACGTAACATGGGTCAGATTCTGATCTACTCCTCTCTCTTCTCCTTCTCTGGTGCCTTAAATATTCTGGTCTCAGTAACTCCTAGAATATGTAACACCAGAAAGTCAACTCTGGGATGAAGTAGCCTACCTGCCTCTTTATATCTGTTATTTGAAGTTTCTTTTTCTTTTTTTTTCATAGAGATGGGGTTTTGCCATATTGCCCAGGCTGGTCTCAAACTTCCACGCTTGAGTAATCTGCCCACCTCGGCCTCCTAAGGTGCTGGGATTATAGGCATGATCTACCATGCTGGCTAAAGTTTCTTATGTATACTTACTCATTCCTCCAATATCTGGATTTCCTTAGTCACCTATCACTTCTCCCTGCATCTTTCCTGTGACGGCTTTTGGTCCCTCCCACTGTTGTAGCAGCACTCTCTGGGGACCAATTTCCACGGATGCTGAGTCATATGGTTTTTGGTTTTAAGAGGATTGAAAATGGAGACTCAACTCAATTTAGGAGCTATCCCATCATAACTAGTAGCAAAACAAGTCACTACTTGAGTCTCAACACAAGACAGGGAAAGTATGAAGTTGGGGAAAAAACAGCGGCAAGGATTATTATTCTATGACAAAGACATTGTGCTGTGATTATAAAACACAATGTAAATACATACATACACTAACTCACCACATGTTGGGTTTTTTTTGTTTGTTTTTTTGTTTTGAGATGGAGTCTCACTCTATTGCCCAGGCTGGGGTGCAGCGGCTTGATCTCGGCTCCCTGCAACCTCTGCCTCCCAGGTTCAAGCAATTCTGCCTTAGCCTCCTGCACATGTTGGTTTTAATAACAATAAAAAAACCCACTTGGGCATAGTCATAATCCAGTGTTACTAAAGGAACTAATTCTACCCAGAGTTAAAGTATCTCACCTTTGGTTATTAATGTCAGTGAAAAGATTTACTGAAGTTTTGGAGACAATAAGATTGAAATCAGACTTATCTCCTTAGGAGTGGGCAACAGGATTTAATTGAGCAAATGACAATGAGTAATTTAAATGAAGACTTTTAAGACCTACATTAATCTTGTTATACAGAGAAAAAGTTAATGCTTTGAAATATATAGAAACTTTCTAGCTGTAAAATGTTCTCCTGGGACTACTGGGAACTTAGAAGTAAAAAAAAAAATAAGAGAGAGAGAGAGAAAAACAAAACCAAACACAAAGCCCCCAAACCCTAAGGCAAGGAGTAGGTTGTAAAACCAAGAACAAGGCTCTTTAAACCTCAGGGTTTCAGACCAGGAGAGCCCTATGCATCAGATCACCACTAGAGGGCGGCGTGGAACAAGATTTTGTGCATCACTAAACCTGTCTTCATTAACTCAACATCGACTCACCCACAAAAGCAAAGCCTAAACTTGATGCTGCCATGGTTTTAAAAATAACATCTATGTAGCTATATATCCCCATGCCCAAAAACTTTATATGCCATACTGCTTTTGGAACTGGCTGTAAATATCATAGTTAATTTTCAATTTAATATTTAACATTATAACTTTACCAAAAGAATGAGTCAAAAAACTCATCTGCACCAATGCATGTAACAAACACACTCGCTCTATAATTTACTTCTACCTTGTGCTTCAGAGTAATCTAAGTTTATAATTACCAAGAACAACCTCCCAGTCAGGGTACTAAATCACATAAATTCACTGGCTTGATGGGAACTAAGCTATGAGGATGCAAAGGCAAAAGGATGATACAGCGGACTTTGAGGACTGGGGGGAAAGGGTGGGAGGTGGGTGAGGGGCAAAAGACTACACACTGGGTACAGTGTACACTGCTAGGGTGATGGGGGCACCAAAATCTCAGAAATCACCTCTAAATAACTTCTTCATGTAACCAAACACCACCTATTCCCCCAAAACCTATTGAAATTAAAATAATAATAATGAAACACTAAAAAAAGACTGTAAGAACAATTCATAGTCACCATTACTGTTCAAATATACCACGAAGACACTTTTGTGTCATGTAGAAAAAGTTACTGTCATGATGGATAGGATTTAATTGAAACTCTGTGCACTGGTTGCTTCCTGGAGATTAAGGTCAATATCGTCATTCCAAATAAAATAATTACATGTAAATTATATTTATCAGCATAGTTAACTAGTAAATTCAAGTAAAATAAAATCAGGTTAAGTATTTTGAGTGTTGTATTATCAAATCTGCAAAATATTGTAAGCTTTACTTTTCTTATTTTATAAGAACACTGAATGGATCTACTCTATATATCCAATAATTTAAAAATATGAGTATTTGAAGAATGAAATTTTTTTTTTTTTTTTGAGACAGGGTCTTGCTCTGTCACCCAGGCTGGAGTGCGGTAGTGTGATCTCAGCTCACTGTAATCTCTGCCTCCTGGGTTCGAATGATTGTTCTGCCTCAGTCTCCTGAGTAGCTGAGACTACAGGCAACTGCCATCAAGCCGGGCTAATTTTTGTATTTTTGGTAAAGAAAAGGTTTCACCACGTTGGCCAGGCTGGCCTCGAACTCCTGATCCACCCACCTCGGTCGCCCAAAGTGCTAGGATTACAGGTGTGAGCCACCATGCCCGGCAGAAATTTTTTCATTTTGGTTAAAAGACAAAAACTATAATTGTGAAAAAATTTTCTGGAAAATTTTTGTTTGCTGGATGATGTCACGGACTTAAAATGAGTAAAATCTAAATGTTACATGATTGAAAAATGTACATATGTATCAGCCTAGTTATGTTATTAAACTGACTCCACATAAAATTTTTTTTAAAAATTCACTGGCTTTCATCTACATTCATGCCCTGTATTTCCTGATGTCCTTGATGTCGTTTTTCCCAGGTTGGTTAGCTACATGCAGTCATCTTCCTACATCAAGTGAATTTGGTTTTTCTTGAGTACACAACCCATAAAGACAAAGATAATCAAAAGAGTTTCTCCTCTTCTGGACACCAGTGACACGCTATAGCCATTAACTATTTTAGTAATACTAGGTGATTTAATCTTTATGGGTGGAGACGTTGTTGTAAGACTAGAAAGACAGGTAACACAGTCTTAATAATTGTTTTGTATAACGAAGCTCGGATTAACTCTTGAAATCCAGTGGCAGTTCCAAAATACAAGTAGGTTACTTTTTTGAGTTTCAGTATTAGCTTCATTTATTATTACAGCACATTTTAATCAAAAGCAAATTGTCAAAAATGTGAAGACAACAAATAGCTGTGAGTACTCAGTTTCTGCATGTGTATTCAGTTTTGTGTTGGTGCAAGATGCTCTCTGTCCTATTTCTCATTATGCGGAGAATAGAAAAGGCACCTGATGTTACCAAATTCAAATAAAGTCCGAGCAAAAAGACAGCTGAAGATTCAGACAGGGTTAAACATCACTAGAGGCAACCTGACACGTATCTTTATTAAAACACCCTTAGGCCGGGCACGGTGGCTCACTCCAGTAATCCCAGCACTTTGGGAGGACAAGGTGGGCAGATCACTTGAGGCTAGGAGTTTGAGACCAGCCTGGCCAACACGGTGAAACCCTGTCTCTACTAAAAATATAAGAACTAGCCGGGCGGGGTGGTGGTGCCTGTAATCCCAGCTACTCGGGAGGCCGAGGCAGGAGAACTGCTTGAACCCAGGAGACAGAGGCTTCAGTGGGCCGACATGGTGCCACTGCACTCCAACCTCGGCAACGGAGTAAGACTCCGTCTCAAAAACACCAAAAACAAAACAAAACAAAACAGAACAAAATACCCTCACGAACTTCTCACTGCATTTAAAATACAACATAGAATTTTTTTTTTTTTTTTTTGAGACTGAGTTTTGCTCTTGTCGCCCAGGCTAGAGAGCAGTGGCATGATCTCAGCTCACTGCAACCTCTGCTTCCTGGGTTCAAGAGATTCTCTTGCCTCAGCCTCCTGAGTAGCTGGGATTACAGGTGCCCGCCACCATGCCTGGCTAATTTTTTGTATTTTTAGTAGAGACAGGGTTTCACCATGTTGGGCAGGCAGGCTGGTCTCGAACTCCTGACCTCAGGTAATCTGCCCATCTTGGCCTCCCAAAGTGCTGGGATTACAGGCGTGAGCCACCGCGCCCAGCCAGAAATGTTTTAATCTTGAATTCCAGTGTATAATTTAATATTATTTAATATTAATAATTTACTATTATTGAAGCCTGAGATAATCAACTTAACTTTTGCAAGATCAAGACCTATGAAGATTTAAGTCAGTATTAAATAGATCAAGATTGCATTTAATTTCTTTATGAATGTCTATGTAACATATATGTATAATTTCTGAAACAAAGATTCAAATTGACTAATTTGACTAGGATTTTAATTTTAATGTCACTTTTGAAAGCATCAAATTTAAGTCTAAATCCAAAATGAATATAATGGAGAAAATACAGCCTAACACTGATAAACAGATATTTAACAGTACCTATGACATGTATATAAACTTAGGCTTAACCAAGCATTCCACTCCAAAAATAAATTAATTCATAATGTATTTTTAGTAAAGGAACGTACCAATTCTTTTACTCTGCTCTTTTCTAGGTTGAAGTCTAATTTGGTATCTGTTCGGACTTTGATCATTTCATCCTAAAAGGAAGGCAAACAACAAAGAAGGAGAAATCCAAAGTAAGAAACCCAAACTCTCTGAGGACATGACAGCGGGACCACTGCCCCCACTGTCCCTATCCTAGGGAAGGCAGCCCAGGGAAGGACAGAGCCAGGGGCTTCCAGAGAAATGGACCTAAGCCTCCTGGCATCAGGGAACTCTGGCCAAGCCACATCTGGAGCCCATCCCAGGACTTCCCAGTTAGACACAAATAACCCCCTTCTATGCTTATGCCAGTCTAGAGTGGGTTGTTGATGCCTTTTTTTTTTTTGAGATGGAGTCTTGCTCTGTCATCCAGGCTGGAGTGCAATGGCGTGATCTCCACTCACTGTAACTTCTGCCTCCTGGGTTCAAGCAATTCTCCTGCATCAGCCTCCCAAGTAGCTGGGATTACAGGCGCATGCCACCACGCCCTGCTAATTTTTATATTTTTAGTAGAGATGGGGTTTCACCATGTTGGTCAGGCTGGTGTCGAACTCCTGACCTTGTGGTCCACCCACCTAGGCCTCTGAAAGTGCTGGATTTCTGGCGTGAGCCTTCGCGCCCAGCCTGTTGCTGCTTTTAACCTCAAGACTCCTCATACAATCTCTGAATGGAACTTATGAATAAAGCTGATCTTAAACAACTTTGGAAGGCAAAGATGGACTCAAAGCAGCCAAATATTAAAATCTGGTTTACACAGAGCCTTTTCTCTGATACACATCAAAATCTTTTTTTTCTTTAACATCTATGTTTTTGCTATTTAAAAAAACATCAAATAGCTGGCACAGTAAGCATTTAAAAATCACGTGTGTTTCTCTAAAGACAGTCTAAGAGAATTTAAGGGTTCCTTCCATGCAGCTACTTTAGAAAAACTTTGACTTAAAAATGACTTAATTCCTCCTAGAATGCAATTTTTTTTTCTTTTCTTTTCTTTTTTTTTGAGACAGAGTTTTGTTCTTGTTGCCAAAGCTGGAGTGCAATGGCGCAATCTCGGCTCACTGCAACCTCCACTTCCCGGGTTCAAGTGATTCTCCTGCCTCAGTCTCCCAAGTAGCTGGGATTACAGGTGCCCGCCACCATGCCCAGCTAATTTTTGTATTTTTAGTAGAGACAGGGTTTCACTATGTTGGCCAAGACCTCAGGCGATCCACCCGCCTCGGCCTCCCAAAGTGCTGGGATTACAGGCATTAGCCACCATGCCCGGCCACAATTTTCTTAATGAATATGGTTACACACAACAATAATTCATTCATTGGCTGTATTCTTAGCTAAATCTTCCAATGTGTACTTTTGAGGCATCTTACACAAACATTTCACATAGAATTAGGTTTCAAAAATATCCATTTCTAATATTATACTTATTAATAAGTTTATATAATTACAAACAAGCCAACAAACAGGAAAGTGAATCTTACCATTACTTGTTGTTTTAACTGATGTAGTTCGAGTTTTATTTTCTAAAAACACATTAAAAAAATAAGTCTTTAGAAAGAACAACATAAAATGCAGTAATCGACAAATATTACAGTATGTATTTATGCACAAGTTCTTCAAGTTTTTCCTCCATTCAGAACACCGTATTGATTGCAGAATGGCATTACAACACATGTATCCTGAAAGAAGTTTGAATTCATCTTGAATGCTACGTAAAGTTAACTCAGTTGTGTTTGGCACACACATTTGCCTTCAGTGGCCCTGCTTTATTTAGTATCTCTGTCAGTTTATCTTTTAACTAATTCTACCCTCAATTAACTGATTTCAAGGACAACCTAGAGAATCTGAAACTTTACCACTTTACTTTTTGCTAGAAGGCTTCTTACAAGGCTAGGGTCAACAGGCAATAAATGGCCTTCCCTATGGGACTTTAAAAATGACTGAAAATAAAAGATGCAGCGAGAGCACTTATTTACATGCTGATCCCATATGCTGTATTTAAAGGAACGCAAGAGATATTTTGCAGCAGCAATTATTCAAAATAACCAAAAACTGGAAATAATTCTAATTTACATTACAATAGAATGATGGGGGCATATTCACGTAAGACTACAGACAATGAAGAAAATGATCTCTTGCTACAGGACACACAGCATGATACCATCAAATGGTTCTAGAATAGGCGAAACTAGTCAATGGTGTTATCAGCCAGGACAGAGTTTCCTCTGCGGCAGGGGCAACTGAGAGGCATGAGAAGGACTTCTGGGACACTGGTCAAGTTTTCCTGCTCGATCTGACTGGAAGTACACACTGTTTGAAAATTCACTGAGATGTACACTTATGTGAGGTCTTTTATGTGTATATATTTTATCTCAATGTCTTAATATAATCAACATTCTAAGTGTGAGTGGCTGTTTTACCTCATTTTCTGCTCTGAGGGCTGAAAATTCACTCTTCTCCAAAATAATCATATCCTTTTTCACATTCACAATCTGAGACATTATTTGCTGAAAAGTGATTTCCTAGGAAAAGAAAAACAAAACACATAATCTAGTCTACCCTAAAAAGTCCACTTCCTATCATCTCCATGTGCTATCTTCTCATTGAGAAACCAGGAGAATGTGGACACAAGAAGAGGTTCAGTAAAGTCATCCTTTATTCCAAAACAGGAAAAGGAAAAGGAAAAAAACCCCCACATATCCGGCCAGACAAGGTGGCTCACACCTGTAACCCCAATACTTTGGGACGCCAAGGCAGGAGGATTGCTTGAGCCAAGGAGTTCGAGACCAGGCTAAGCAACATGGTGAAACCCCATCTCTACAAAAAGTACAAAAATTAGCCAGTTGTAGCAGTGCACACCTGTAGTCCCAGCTACTTGGGAGGATTGTTTGAACCGAGGAGGTCAAGGCTGCAGTGAGCTGAGACTGCACCACTGCACTCCAGCCTGGGTGAAAGAGTGAGACCCTGTCTCAAAAAGAAAACACAAAACACACAAAAAAAGACAAAAACCACATATCTGGTTATCGTTACCAAGTGAATCACAGCTAAAAGGGTGGTGATCTGAAGACTTGAGAACATGAGGCTGTAATACTGTAATTCAGGCCATGTCTCCATTTGTTAAAGTATATTTCACTGGAATAATTTTGAATAGTGAGCTTTCAAGCATAACAATTCTACAACCGTTCACTAAATAGCTCTGAGTAAGTATTTTTTATGCCACTGTAATCTTTTGCCTCTTCATCATGGTAAAAGTTACTATATATTTTTCAACTGGGTATTATCTAAAAAATTACATTAAAACATTACTACAAACAATACCCCATCCTCACAGTCCTAATGTGCTAAGCCACCCGACAAGGCTAACCTGCTGCATCTTGGTGACCATATCTTTGTAGACGACGTCCATGTTGGCTTCCAGGATCTTGACCAGTGCAGACACAATAATTTCTGCTTGTTGAGTAGCAAACCCTAAGCAAGTACACAGGCAAAAACAATCATGCTCAGAGTTACAAAAGCCCACAGCAAATGCACACATTCATGTGAATGTCCGAATCCAGGAGCAGGGGTACAGCACAGTGTGGTAGGAGGCAGGGAGGAGGGCCGGGCCACAAACTACCACGTGCTGGTCACTCAGAGCAAGCACGAAACATAAGCTGGCTTCCCCGGGTACCGGTGGCTTTGCTGACTGATTTGTAAGTCCTTCCTAGCTATCAAAAGTCATGTTTTCAGAAACTATTTAATGACATAGACAATGCCTTATGTAAATAAAATTTAAAAATTTTTTAATTAAAAAAAAAAGAGTTCATGTTAAACATAATTAGTTTGGCGGCTTGGACACAGTGGTTCATGCCTGTAATCCAGCACTTGGAGGAGGCCAAGACGGGTGGATCACTTGAGGTCAGAGTTTGAGACCCAGCCTGGCTACCATGGTGAAACCCCATCTCTAGTAAATTATACAGAGAAAATTATGAGGTGTGGTGGTGTAAGCTATAATCCGCTACTCCGGAGGACGAGGTGGAGGATGCCTTGGAAACAGGAGGGGGTTGCAGTAGGCAGGACTGCACCACTGCACTCCAGCCTCGGCAAAGAGTTGAGACTCTGTCTCAAAAAAAAAGAAAAAGGAAAAGAAATAAACAGGTAAGAAAGGAGAACTTATGTTGATGTAAAACAAACCTAAAAGCATATACTTTATAATCACTTGTGGAGGGAGAAGGGGATAAGCATAAAGTTGAGGAAATCTGAAAACTACTGAGTTATGAGGGCAGAAAATTAATTTTTGCTAGACACGAGGGAATAGGACCAGAACCAGGGTCAGTGAGGATCAACAGGCATATGAGAAATTTATGTTATCGAAGACACAGGGCTGGCATAAAGAAAGGGTACGAATGGCCTTCAAAAAGTCCTTCCTGGCTCCTAATCAGCCACGTCATCTCAGACACCTGCCCCACTCATCCATAGTTGGATGAACAGCCCTCCACACCGACGTTACTTGCAGCGCGGTCCCACACCACAGTGCTCCTGAAGTAGCCAAATAATTCATGGTTAAGGTTTAAAGTCAAGAGAAAACTGGAAGACTTCCTGCGTATCCATGTTTTTGTTGTTTGTTTGGTTTGTGTTTTGGTACCAGACGGCTCTCACTATGTTACACAGACTCGGCGCCTTGACCTCATCGGGCTCAATGCGATCCACCCGCCTCAGCCTCCTAAAGTGCTGCGATTGACAGGCCATTGGAGGCACTCACCTTGGCCCTTATCATTAGTAACTTTAC